TTAGTCAGCTCAGGCTGCTAAAACTACCTACCACATGTTGGGCAGCTTAAACAACAAACATTTACTTCTCATAGTTCTGGAGGCAGTGAAGTCCAAGGGCAAGGTGCCAGCAGATCCTGTGTCTGGGGAGGGCTCTCCTCCTGGTTTGCAGAAGGCCACCTGCTCCTTGGATCCACACACAGCCAAGAGAGTGATCCTCTCTCTCAGGTCTCTTCTTATGAAGGCAATAATGCTGTTTATGAGTTTTATGAAATCATGAGATCTACTCTCAGGATCTAATCACTTCCCAAAGTCCCCACCTCCTAATGTCATCCTATTGGAGGGTTAGGCTTCAACATATGAATTTTGGGGGAACACATGCAGTCCATGAATTTGGGGGGAGAAACATGCAGTCCGTGAGTTTTGGGGGGAACACGCAGTCCATAGCAGGTATGGATGCACGAGTAGCACATAGCATTGCTTGGTGTGTTGTGTGCTCCTCTTGCAGCTTGCTGTCTTGGTGCAGCACAGTTTTTGGATGACCACTGGACAATGCACTCAGCTCTCCATTACACCTTTGCACTGATGTGCGGTAGCCACTGGCGTGTCCGTCCTCACATGAACACATTGAGGGCGTTGTCCAGGCTTGCTCTACCCAAGGGCAGCCCTTGCTTGCCAGCAGATGATCTCAGAAAAAGTGCGTTTATGGTTAAAGGAGCAGGAGACAGGCAAGAGACAGGGAGTGGCTCTGTTTGTCAGGGTAAGCATGCAATAACTATTCTCCAAAACCACAATAATAAATCAATCAGTGGCCCTCATGTTGCTGGTGTCTGTGATGATGGCTCCTCTCAGGAGGTGCAAGGGAAGCCTGCTGATTGCACAGATCATATCGACATTTATTGTTCTCCCTGGCGCTCCTGGGGAATTCATATGTAAATCATTACCCAATTGCTATGAGGTTGGGAATGGAAGACATTACGATGGGCAGGTGTCAAGAATGAACCCAGAAAAAAAAAAAAAAAAAAAAAAAGAATGAACCCAGGAGTTGGGGCCAGGAGACCCAGACTGAGCTCCCTGCCCTTTCACGTGTTTGTAAATGATGGTGATGACTGTCACTGCTCTGTGCCTCTGCGCTCTGGGTTCCAGGAAGTCTGGGGCATGGATGCAGCACTCAGACGCACTGCGGCCAGGGCACAGGGAGTCACGGCTATGCAGGGGAAAGGCTTGGTTGCTTGGAGGGCCCTAAAGGAGGCCCAAGCCTCACAGTGCCTTGGACTGGGTCCCCTTAGGGGCAGCTGGCTCACTATCTTAGAGGACAGTGTACTGGACACGCTAGGCTGCCTGGTGCAGGCCCACAGACCGGCCAGTGTTCTGTCCCTGGAAATGTGACAGCCAGAAAAAAGCTGAGTGGCCAGCCCTGTGCCGTGGGGCCTACCAGCCTTCTGGGCCAGCCCCACAATGCCAGAGAATAGACAAGGGCAGCCCAGACAGGTTAGAATGAGCCTTCAATTAATCCAGAGTATAGGGCAGCTGTGGTCAGTGGGCCAGTCAGACCAGGGTCCCTCCCTGACTTTTGCCAGCTGTGTGACCTTGGGAAGGCCACTTTACCTCTCTGAGCCTCATATCCTCTGTGCCTCTAAAGTAGGGCTACTCATACCTTCCTCTGAGAGCGCTCAAAGGAGTGACTCAATCAGCAAGCTCCAGCGCAGAACTCAGCTGAGGCGAGGCTGCCCTGCAGGCTTCTGGGGGAGGGGGCTGCAGTGTGCACTAGCCTGTCCCTGTGTCCCAGGTCGGTCCCAGGCCCATCCACATGGAGATAGCCCAGCAGGGCTGACTCCCTGGGAACCCCTTTCCCAGCAGCGAGTGGGAGTGGAGGTCAGGCCCTGGGGGGACCGAGCATCTGGGCACAGTTCACAGTTCCTGCTGACCCAGCACCCCACATCTCATGCCTCACTGCCAACTTCACAATGGCCTATCTGGACCACGGCCAAGGCCGCTGCCCCAGTGAGGACGGCGAGGCTCTGGGCAGGACTTCCCCAGGGCTGCACGGCAGTCTGCTCAGAGCTGAATCCCCAGGCTGTGTGTCTGTGCTAAGCCCCAAGTGCTTTCCCCAGCACTGCATGCGTGGCCACTGCCCCGGGTGTGGGTTGTGCGGGCGGCGGCGGGTCAGCTGGGCTGCACGTGTTTAAGGATTGGTCTGCTTTAAAGACTGTAGTGAAGTGATGATTATTTCAATGTTATTTCTACTTTTCAAAGCTGAATGATTGAAGGGAAATACTATGGACAAAACACAGGTGGAAGGAATGCTCAGTGCAGTTTAATTCAACCACGTTTGGCTGCTCTTGCTGGGGTGGGGGTGCTGTGGGCTCTCCCACCCATGCAGGGGTTGCTCAAGCCCTGCTTTCTCCAACTGCAGCCTGACTCAGGTGCAGGAAGGATGTGAAGGCTGGGACAGGTGGGGAGCTTATCCCAGACTCCCTGTGTGGGCCTGGTACAATCAAGGGGCCTTATTAGAGGGAGGTCAGGAAGGAGAAAAGATGCTATTCTGCTGGCTTTGAAGACAGAGGAAGGGGCCACAAGCCTAGGAATGTAGGTGCCTCTATAGGCCGGAAAGGAAAAGACTCCAGTCATGCTGACACTTTGATTTTAGTCCTGTAAGACTCATTTTGCACTTGTGACCTCCAGAGAGATAAGACAATAAACTTGTGTTGCCTCAAGCCACTGTTTGTAGTAATGTGTTATAGCAGCAATAGGAAATTAATATAGGCCCTGTGCTTCCCACGCCATCTTCTGTCCAAACCTGCATGTCCTATGGACCATGGCTGTGGAATCCTGATTTCTGATCCATGACGGTGAAGGACAGTTGGGTGCCTTTCCTGGGTTACACTGCTTTCCACTTAGAAGACCATAGGACTGATGCTTATGCAGGAATTTTATGGTGGCATGGATGGGGTTTGACTGGGGGAATCAAGCCACCTGTGTCCCCAGAATAAATTACACTCTGCCTAACCTGTTATGCAGAGCCCTCTGCAGTAAACCCTACCCACCAAAGGCCAGTCTACACTCCAACGTGACCGACAAGCTGGAAGGACATTTCAGAAGATCTTGGTGATCCTGTCCTAGTAAGTCCCCTGAGAAAATAGTATGGCCCTTCCTTTGCCTACAGTGATGGTGCTTCCTTCCACAACACAATCCCTCTGTGGCATCCCTGGCAGGCAATGTTTCAGCCTCTGCTTGAATACCTCCAGCAATGGGGTGCTCACTGCCTGTCGGCCAGCACTGAGTGACAGTAAGCCCTTCTTCAAGGAGGCAGAGGTAATTGTGAACCTTAGCCAGCCTTTGCCCTGTTGGATGACCAGAGGACACCTCCTCCCTCCATCAGATGCCATGCTTCACCTGGTCAGGATGCAGCCAGCCACAGTGCTCCACCTGCCACAAATTTGACTTTTGAATCCAAGTCCTGATACAAATGCAGAGGGGGTCAGGAGTGTCCTGCGGCTGACTGCTCAGGCCTGCCTCCAGGGCTCGAGCCACTCTGCTCACCACAGAGTCCTGTTGGCCACAGAGGCACCCTTCCCCTTCCCGAAATGCTTTACGATTCTGTGCACCTTTGTCACCTGGTCCAGGACAATGAGAAGAAAATGTGCTCTGCATGCCACACAATTACATTTGTTTTTTAAACACCAAGAAAACCTATTGCTTGCAGTTTTCTCCTTCTACACCACTGGGGGCCTCTCAAGGCCTCAGGAAGCCCCCAGTTCCTGAGATGAGAGCCCCGTGAACGCTGGGTCCCCCAGTCTTCTGGAAAGAAGCTCCTGCAGAAACTCATAACCTCTTCCACATCTCAGCAGTGACATCATAACTGATGGGCCACTTTTCTTTCCTGTCAATATTTTCTAAGCATCTGGATCCTCTTGACACACAACTATTTATGGGAGCGGATCCATGCTACAGTCGCTCTAACTGGGGAAGTTCCTGAGCAATAAGGAAACGTCTCTGAGAAGGCAGAACAGTGGCTGTCCTGGGAAAATACCCCAGCCAAGAATGGGCTCCAAATGTCTCAGCACCAGAAAGACCTTTGTTTGAAAACGTATGCTTATTTTTAAGACAGTTCAGTATGTACTTTGGTGCGTTCATTTCCTCCTTCTCATCTATGGTACAGAAGACAACGTGTATCAGGGAATGCCTGCCAGGGTCCATGGAGCTCCAGGAAAATCCATCTTGGATCAACTGCATTGCCTGCAGTTGTTAGGAATGTATTTCACATTTCTTGGTGGTTATTATTTACCCTATGAACAACACATGATTATGTAAGAACAGTGTATTGCCCAGAGCAGCCCTGGGTCTGTCCTTGGGTGGGGCTGAGAACACAGGCCTGCACCTTCCTTCCACGTGCTGCAACGGGCGCAGGGCACAGCCAGACCTCTCTGCCCACTTCCCCCTGCCAGCTCTGGGCTTCCCATTGCCTCTGTTGAGGACATCACCTGCCCTGGAGACAGTCAGGGGCAGTAAATGATCACAGGAGACTTAAACAGGCTCTGGTATCCTCAGAGCCGTACCACTCTCCAGACCCACCCCCCCACCCCCCGCCAGGGTCCCCGGGCCTGTCCCTGCTGCAGTGCACTTTGGGGTCAGTGCAGGAATTTCAGTAGCTAGAAACAGGGTGATTGCTAGACTCTGGGCAGAGACGTGAGGGGCAAGCATCTGGCGTTGAGAGATGTGGCTGCCACCTAGGGAGAGGAAGTTGAGGTGTTTATGGGGGTGTTTTAGGGAGAGGTGCTATGCCCTTTGGGGAAAACTGCCACGTCCCTTTCTCTCTCAGGCAGGTATGGAAGCCAGAACACCCGCTCTCCACAAGAGCTCTTCTGCAAAGCCTCCTCCAGCATCAGGCCTGCAAAGTTCCAGCTGAGTTTCTGCCCCTCAGCCAATTACAACTACTTGGATTTGTCCATTTCAGTTCCCTTCCCCTCCCACAGTCTCTGCAAGACATACCCTTCAAAGGAACCAGTTCTAGCAAATATAATAATGAATCATAAATTTTATTTCAAAATGTAAACGTCACTAAACATGCATACACGTTAAAACAATAAAATTTACAATTTCGTTAATTTTTTTCTTTTTGCATAGGACATCATTACAATATAGAATCTATGCCATACAAAATACATACAAAGTTTTATCCAAGCAAGCCAAGGCCAGACTGGGAACTGTACAACTGTAATACTTCACTGTAGTGATCCAGGAAGGATGAAACGTGGCCTTCGGAAGCATGGTTGGGTGCTGGTTAAAAAAAAAAAGTTCCTATGGAAAAGGAAAACATGAGCTCCATGGAAATGGTCTTGGACCCTTGGATTCTGCCTTGGGCTTTTGGCAAACAATTCCAGAGAAGCTCCTCCAATGACTTTGGATGGGAAGGGGTGGCCTATGCGGACCTGGAGCAGCTGAGACCCCGCTGGCTGCACCCGACATATCCGCACAAACAATTCCTGGCCACCAAGGAGCCATGGCAAGCCCCAGCCCGACACTGTACAGGTGCTCAGTAGAAAGCCCCCCTGGTGCAGAGCCCCAGGGCCCAGCACTCAGCACAAGGGGCCTCTCTAGGGTGAGGCCAGGGAGCAAAGTCTCCACTCACACACCCAGGTGAGGCACCCTGACCAGGAAATGGACACCAGGACTGTGACCCACATGGGGTCTGAGCCACACTGGGAAGCCACTCCCCTTGCTCCTCTGGGAGGGCAGCCTGGGGAGGGAGCCGGCCAGCTAAGGCCAGCTATTGTGCTGAGTGGGTGTCCTTGTAGGTATTCAGCTCACACACTTGGTTTCCAAATGAGCGTGCACGGTGGCCTGTCAACAGGTCCTCTAGGAAGAAGCCAGGGAACAAGGCCGAGCCCTGGAGGAAAGCTGTCCGCACACCCACCCCCAGGCCTTCCTGCCTCCATTCCACCCCCCACCCCAGAGTGTATGACTTGCAGGGCAAGGGACGCTACTTTTCTCCCATCCTGTTTATTTTTAAATAAAAGTAGTAACGTTTTAAAGCTGTATGAGAAAGGGAGAGGCTGGGCAGGGCCAGGTCACCACACTGCAAGTCATCTGGATAAGGGGTCAGTAGAAACCAAACACGGACACAGGCCCGTCTCCTGCCACATTCAACTCTTCCGACTGGTGAGGGCCAGGACAGCAGGCAGGAGGAAGGGCCTCGCCCTAAAGGGTATACAGGCCTTTATCAGTAGCAAGCTGGATTGTACATCCAAATTCTGGTACAAAATTCTCTGGAATGTGTGTAGGACAAAACTTCAAAGCCTCAGAATCAGGAAATCAGAATCATAGGACCTGGTGGTCCTGGATCATAGGACCGAGGTGATCCTGAATTCAAAAACCATCAGCCTACATCTCCATTTTAGCTTTGGAAAATATGGTTACTAGAATCGCATATGGAAACTTTGGACAGGAAAAGATGTGGATAACTTTACAAAGCGTTTCTTACTGGTTACAACATGGCCAACACATCACACCCTCTAAACCTTCCAGCACTGTGTCTTTGACTAAATGACCTTTTTAAAATGGTGGGTTTAAAAAACAAAAAAACAAAAAGTGACATCTTTCAGAAGTCAAAATAATCAGGTAGCCTTGTAAACACAGCCACAACCAGGAGCCCAGAAATGAGGCCATGCTATTGCTCAGATCACATCTTCCTGTTGGGTGGCACAGCTGAGGTCCTGAACGGGGTCCCTAGGGAGTGCTAGGACCCCGTGCAGTCCACCTTAGCAGAGGCCAGCCCTCGCTGCCCACCCCACCCCACCCCTGCATCTCCCCTCAGTGGGCTGAGCAGTGGCCCAGGGCGTGGTGAGGCCTGGCTGGGGTCACAGGTGCTTCTACCTGGAGGCTGCACCATGGCAAATCCTGCACCTACACAGCTGCATGGCCTTGGAATAAAGTTGGGGGGGGGGAATTTTGCACCTCAAGTGCTGTGGGTGCAGCGGGACACAGGTAGGCACCTCCAGGACTGCGTTCCCTTCAAGGGCATCACTGCCCGCTCCTACATAGCACCCAGCAGGAGAGGACTCCAGGGCTCCTTGTGGAAAGGCTGTGTTCGTCTGTGTTTTTCTGTATGGCTGTAGGATTCAGTAGGCATTTGGGGAGCTGACAATGTTCCCCTAATATGGCTGATGCGAAGAGGGGCTTTCTTGTTTGGGACATGAGCTGAACACCCGACCCTTTGTGTAGGGAACTCTCCCTTCACTCAGGCGACCTTCGCGATCTCTACCCTGTGGCCCACTAGAACCGAAGTCTGCCTCAAAATAAAGATTTGAGTTTTCACTATTATTTCTACGAGCCCTATGGGTTCCTCAAACCCACCAAAACCGGCAAGCATGGCCATAAACCACAAAAATGAAAGACCCTGAAATAGACCCAGGCTGGGAAGACATTCTACACGTTAGAAGAAAATGAAGGCTGTTTCAGGGGGGTCCTGCCCTCCGCCCTCTTACATAGGCACCCCCGTTTCATGATGAGATGGAAACCTGCTAGTGAGAAACCATCTGAACTGAGCCTGAGATTCATGGATCCCCCCTCCCCCTTTCAAGTGAGATGAATTTAAGCCCCAGATGATTCAAGAGGGTCTGGCCAGGAACGCCCAGCAGGGAATTCCCTCCTGGTGCCCTGTCCCCACTTCCCAGGCCAGGCTGGGCCCAAGGACCGCACCCTGCCATTACACGAGAACCACTTTGGGAATGAAGACACACTCATTTGCCAAAAATAGCCAACTCCTGCATATTTCTATTTTAAGGCAATGTTACCCTTCCATCTATCAGACGGAACAGCCCTGGGTCATTTAGAGGAAAAATTAAATTAAGTGCTCTCTTTGGAAACAGCCAACACCCCACTTCCCTCCCCCACCCCCCGACCCTGCTCTAAAACAAACCAGCTCTATTTTTTTTATTCCAAGATGATGGTGTTTGGAGTCCTTTCTTTCCCTTCGTACGTGTAGACAATGTGGAGTTAGGAAACCTCCTGCCAAGACACCGTGGGCAGTGCAGACCTCAAGAGCGTTGGCTTCTCCCTCGGAGAGGGCTTCTCTGGCCTCCCGGGGACACGCCGCTCCCTCTCCCTGCCTTCCAGAACCCTGGACGGTGAGTGCACCGAAGGACTTTGGAATAAAATTCCTGAACCTGGAATGTGAATTCCTGAGACATGAAATGTGTTCAGAGTGTGGCTGTCTCTGCCTCACACGGAAACAACTTTGGGAGGGACCTCACTTTGGAACCGGGCATGAAGATCTTTGCACCCCAAGCACCCAGGGCTCTCTACTGTCAAGGTCCCTACTGCATATCCACTCTCTCTCCCAGACCAAAAACACGCAGGGCTGCCCCACAGCCCCCGTGCAGCATGGCACCCAGGGTGGCCAGCTCTACATCTCACCAGGATGGGGGCTACCCCTCCCTGCCACCATGTAGTGCCCACTGTGCTACTCAGAAGCCACCACCATGCCATTAGCCAATCTCAGCTGACACATGGTAGTTCGAAACGGGCACCTGGAACACACTGCCACTTGCACAGCTGCTGTGGATGGAGGGCACCCATCCACTCTGGAGCCAGCCAGAAACAGCGGCCAGAGGCTGTGGGTACTGGCTGGGCCTGGGTCTCTGGGGTTTCTCTGTGCTGCACACCACGCCGTGGCAGGGCCAGTGGAAGCAGGATGGCCACAACCAAGGCACTCTGGGCCGAGGAAGCCCACCTATGGCCCTCCGAGGTCCCAAGGGCCATTTCTCATCAAAATGAGTACCCACTGGAATGGGTATCTCTACAAGATAACCCGAGTCTTCCCCAAACCCACCCACCCCCACCAACATACATACACACACACACACACACACATTATATACACACACACACACATACATACTCTATCCTGGGACCTTGTATGTACAGGCCCGAACTTCCTCCTTCCTCTCAGGAGAAGGGACAGTGGTGCCTGGGCTGCAGGCTGGGGTGGATACCCCAGGTGCCTGCAGAGGAACTTGCTGGACCATGGCTTGACTGACCTGGCCCAGGACTTGAACCCCAGCCTAGCTCAGGCCAGGGCTCTGGGAGCAAGTGCCCCAGAGCTCTCTGCTCCCCTTCTCCTACCAGGAAAAGGCTAGCCATGGGGCACCCTCAGAAGTCCTAAAGTGCCACAGGCTGGGTGTGGCCTGGGGCCTCCCATGCAGGGCAGGGAAAAGCCAGAGGGAAAAGGAGGAGGGAGCCAGGGGACACGGTGGGTCTCAGAAAAGTGTTTCCCACAACTTTCCGTCTAGTGCTCCCTGGGGGGGAAGCAGCGCACATGCTCCCCGACAGCATTTCCTATAACATCCGCTGTGCCACTCCTAAAAAGTTCCAAGTCACAATGTTCCGGTCTCTTGCTACAGAACGGTCTCTACGAAGTACTGAACGCACAGCCACAAGCTTGGCTGCTCACAAAGACCCTCCGATGAGGCCGCCCCACGACCTCACCGTGGTTTCAAAGGTGCCTGGACGGCAGCCCCGTGGGGAGAACTCCGGAACTGGATACACCAATGAGACTTTCTGCCATCTTTTTAGAAGACCAGAATCCCGGTGGGAGAACATGGTACAATAGCAAAGGGGCTCCAGGTGCCTTCTGCAGGGACACAGAGCAATGAGGTCCCAGGCAGGCATATCCCAGGCCCCTGGGTCCCCAGGCTGGGCCCCGCAGCTCTGCTTCCAGTGCTCTGAGGGGCCACCAGGGGTCTCCTGGGGCAGGGAGGGAGGCAGGCAGGGCCCCAGAGGGCAGCTGCTCCCTCCACAGTCTGAGAGGCAGGTGGTCCTTCTGCCACGGCTTTTGGCACCCCTCTAAGGGGGCCTGTTTCCCAGAAACAGCTGTGTGGTCACCCAGCCAGGCCTGTGTGGCGGAGGCCAGAGGTGGGCCTCGGGCAGGAAGGCGGGGGACGCCTGCCACTGAGGACCACAAACGTCAGACGTCAGTGACCACGTCTGCTCCCAACTGACGGGCTGACGAGCAGGACGGATGCCCAGCGCCACCTGGCCCAGCTGGCCTGCTCTGTCCCCACTATGTTCCTGGACAGAAAACTCCAGAGTGCAAATCTATGTACAGAGTAAGGCGGCAGGAAGGGTGTCCTCACTGACCTCGTGGAACGTGTCCATCCCTGAGAAAGAGGGTTCAACACCGCTGAATCTCAACTTCGTGGGCATGTCTATTGTGCAATTTGTGGGTGGTGTTTTTTGAAATTTTTTTTTGTTTTTTGATTTTTTTACAAATTTACTTTGACACCTGAGGTGAAGAAAGTGTTTTCTCGTGGACTTCTGTGAAGTTCTCTCTTCTTTCTTATTACAAAAGGGGGCGGGAGGCGGGAGCGGCTGCTCATGGCTGCGTGCGGCGCCAGCTCAGGGGGAGCTGGCAGGGCTGATGGTGGGGCTGCTGGCGTCCGAGCGGCTGTAGTCGCTGAGCGAGCCGGTCCGCGAGCCGCCACCGCGCCGCTGCAGCATGCCCGGGTGGAAGTTGGCGTGGCGGCGCGCGTGCTTCGTCAGGTGGTCGCTGCGCATGAAGCGCTTCTCGCAGATGGGGCAGCTGAACTTCTTCTCGCCTGTGTGCGTGCGGTAGTGCCGCGCCAGCTCGTCGGAGCGCGCAAACTTCTTGTTGCAGTCCTGCCAGCTGCAGGCGAAGGGCCTCTCACCTGCAGGACGACAGGGCAGAGCGTCAGTCTTGCGGGCACCTGGCCCTGCCTGGGCCCCACGAGTCCTAACCCTGCTCCCCCCATCAGGCACTCATTAACCCCCTCCCCCATGTTTGTCTCCGCCAGCCTATGACAAATCCATTAGGGGGAGGATGAAGGTGGGCCCGTGCTCTCCTGCCCACACTGGGATGGAAGCGGACCATCTCCCAGGATGGCACAGCACTTCAGGCGCTGAAGCACCAGGGCCTATGGAGTGGGTGTGGGCCAGGGCCCCCTAAGCACATGCAGGCTGGCCCCACAGGAGCCCCTCAACCCCACTGCCCCACCTCCATTCCAACCCTTCTCAGTCACAGCTGTAATAGGGGAAGGCGGGGTCAGACTGGGAGATTTTCAGGGCCTGAGATTCTATGATCCCTGGTTTGTGACTCCTTCTCTCACAGAAGTCCCAACGTGATCAACCAGTGATGGCCAACAGAGCAGGAGACTGCCACAGGATCCTGCAGACCCGAGTACCAAGACAGACAAGGGTGGCAGGCAGAACACCTTGTGCAGGTAGGGAGGAGATGGAACACAGAGGGGGTGGAGGCACTGAAGGGCAGCTATAGTCAGGACCCTGCCCCTCCTCCCATCCCATGCTCAGAGTGAGACAGGCTGGCCAGCATTTACACAGGTGAACTGAACCACAAAAGCAACATCAACTGCTCAGGGAGAACCGGGAGAGGGGAGACTCTGGCACCCCAGAATCCAGCTCTTCTGGCATTTTGGAGTGGCCACACAGCTGCTTTTCCTACCCTCTCTCTGCATCTCCCTCTCTCCCCACTACAGGCCCTGAAGCAGACTGCCAGTCCCTGAAGCTGATCCCCTATGCCCAGCAGAGGACATCCATACCACCCACCCACCATGAACACAGACACCCAAAGATGGCCAGACAGCCAAGGAAAATCAGCAGCATGAAGGAGAAAGGCCAGTGCAACAAAACCACCAACTCCAGAGGAAAAGGAGTAAAGCCAGGGAATAGAAGAAAATTTAACCTAAAATTTCTAATTAGCATTTTTTGAGGAATCCGAAACAACATTTGATACACAGACCAAACAGGATACCAAAAAAAAGAAAGTTCATAAAACAAAAAATAGCATTTAGAAGTTGAAAATACCATTCCCCAAACAAAAATTCCAAAGAAAAGCTGGAAATATACTCAAGCAAATATCCCAGAAAAATAGAGCAAAAAAACAGTTCTAGAAAATACGTGAACATTGCAGTGTGTGTCTTTTAGCATTGCTGAAGTTGAGGGCCAGGTGTGTCACATCTGCTCTCCTTACTGATCTTACAATTTGGGGGAAAGGGCGTTAGGGTAGGGTAGGATTCAAGATCAAGCAGCCATCATTGTTTCTCAAACCACTTTGATAGAGAGTAGAGGTGAAAAGTTGAGAGCCAGAGAATCAACCCAGTGAGTTCAACATTTTACTATTAGGAGGTGTCAAGTGAGAAAACAGAAAAAATGGAGAAGAAATTACAAAATAAATAATAGAAAAGTATCTGTCAGAATGAAAAAAAAGAAAGACAGGAGACTAACACAAGCAAGGTTGGCACAGAAGAGGGCGGTGTAAGTGAGCAAAGGCCCTATGTCAGAATTTCTGCAATGTCAGAACACACTCAAAACAAGAGATCCCAAAACTTACTAGACAGGGAGGGGAGAAACAAATACCAGGTCATCCACAGAGGAACAAGGCTGGGACAGACACCAGACTTCTACGTCACATTGGATGCTAGAAGACAAAGGAACGGGGCAGGGCCTTCCAAGTTATGTCTCTCGCATGCTGCAAAAATGAGAAAAAAACTGAGAAGCCAGGGACATGAGTGAATAGTGAAGGGTCATCTCAGGACAAAAGCAAGGCAGAGGCATAAGAGGCCACTGGGGCAGAGGATCATGACTCAGAGCGGAATAGTTCCAGGAAGAGAGAGTTCTGTGCACCAGAGGGAATGGTCAAGAGGCTGGACAAATGCCAAAACACTGTGAAGACATTACTAATTCTTTGTTTAAAAGAAAAAAGAGAGGCAATTAGAAACTCCAGGAAACATAAAAGACATATAAGAAAATTGTTATCGAAATTACATGCAAACTAAAATGCCACATGATTATGAGCAATCAGTCAAGAGCTCTGTTGTAGGGGACTGACATATACATTCCTAGTTTAAGAATTAAATTTAATGAGTAATGTACGTGTTCTGCCCGGCACGTTTGAAAGTAATGTGTTCCGGACAAGGCCCTTGTGACAAACAGGGTTGCTGCCTAGAGGCATAACAATAGGCCTGAGTTTCTACATTGAAGCAAGAGCTGCCCAGCCCCACAATAAGTGGAGGCCCAGAGGCCACACAATAAGCACATTGTTCTTTTGATTGCTGCTTAATCCCATAAGATGGCTGGTTAGTCAATGACAGGTAAGACCCCTCAAGGGAGGGGCGACCTAAGCCAGGCACAGCCGCAGGGGATCAACCTAAGAGGAACTGGGGACAGAAACTGCCCCAGGTGGAAGCCTTGCCCAACCTTGCTAATCTGGTCTGTGATCTATGCCTGGCGCCTCGAGCAACTGCCTGGAAACCTTGAGTCAGGAGACATCTGTGTCCTTAGGCTACGTGTTCCAGAATTTATGGCTATTTGCTGTCACGCCTGGGTGGGCACATATAAGGAACTAACTTTGATTTTGGGGGTATAAAAATAAAACGACTGGTGCATTCTGCACTGCAGTCTTGTAACCGTCTTTGTGTGTGTCTTTTTGTGTTCTGTGTTCATCCTCCATCCTGCAAACGGGCCACGACAATCTGTGCCAAGCTCAGTTCTAGGGGCCTTTCCTATGTTATTTTATTTATCCTTCATAAAAACCCCATGAGGTGGCAAAAGGAAATGTATCCCAGCACAGGCCCTGGCTGACAGAAGCAAACTTCACACAGTCATGTAAGTCTCAGCACCAGCTGTCAGTGTTCAGAACTGATCCTATAGACAAAGCCCGTACAAGTGACTCAGTGTACCCAGCAAAATGTGGGTTTAAAGGAAAGGTGGGACAGCACATAGTGTACAGCCAATGGATATATCTAAGTGTAAAATACAAGTTTAAAGTTATAAGGATAGTCAGTAAAAGAATTAAAATAATAATACATCTATCAATTCAAGAGGAGGTGGGGGAGCAAGAGTGAGGTAAATCCTTAAATTTCATGGCAGGAAGATAACAGAGAGTATCTAAACTTGATAAATCAAGAAAAAGCAATAAAATCATACAGTTCATTTAAGGCAATAACAACCAAGACAATTTAAATCAGAAAAGAGAGGTGCTGGTCTGGGGAGTGGAGCCAGATTGGTAAGAGGGTATTTTTTGTTGTAAGCTCTTCTGTGGTATGGTCTTTAAAATATATATGTATTTATTTGACAACAATGAAAAGTAATGTTAAAATATATTATAGTCCATTATTTCCCAAACTGTGTTCAAAGAAATGTTATCACTAAATGAACTGTTAATAGTTCCAGGAAAAAAAATCTCAACAGAAAAGTTTGAAAAAGGCCACATGGTAATTCTACTCTTTGAATACTAGTCATTCACAGCTGGGAAAGGTCTAGCATTAAATGGTCTAGCATTAACTGTTTCGGGTCTGAAAGATGAGACTCTAGACCAGGCGTCCTCAAACTACGGCCCGAGGGCCACATGCGGCCCGCCGAGGACATTTATCCTGCCTGCCGGGTGTTTTTGCCGCGGCTGCCTGTCCTGCTTAGCAGCCGACGCCTTCTGGGCCCACAGTGCGCATGTGTGGAATGTGTGCCGTACTCTCCAACAGCCCTCCAACGGTCTGAGGGACAGTGAACTGGCCCCCTGTTTAAAATGTTTGAGGACCCTGCTCTAGACCCCTGTTTGGACCATGCAGAGATGGTATGGCCTTAGTCAAGCTCCTCACTGCCTCTGGCAAGGTGGATAATGGTCCCCAAAAAGATACAGCCAAGTCATAACCCCCAGAACCTGTGGATGTGACCTTATTTGGACAGAGGGTCTTTGTAGTCCCGGGAGGAGCTCACAAGTGTGAGAAGAGAGAACGGGAGGGGAGGCATGGAACAGAACCTCCCTCAGAGCCTCCAGAAGGAACGAACACTGCCAGTACCTTGATTTCAGACTACTGGTTTCTGGAACTGTGAAGAGAGTAAATTTCTATTGTTTTCCAGCCACCCAGTTTGTGGTCATGTGTTACAGCAGCCACAGGATATGAATGAATACACTGCCCCATCCTCACAGTGGCGTCCACATGGCAATTCTACGGGGCTGCACACGACCAGCCTTGGCACTGTGCCTGGCATGTTCCCAGTGCTCATTCCTGAAATGTGAGCTATTATTGCTGTTCTTATGCATTGCTATGCCAACTGGGTCTTCTCAGATTTGGGCCTGTGGGGGAGGGGAACCAACCCAATTCAGACTCACTCTTGCTTCCTAATAGCCCTTGTTAGGGACTTTGTGCTTTTCAGATCCTTCTGCTTACAATTCTGGGAAGCACATGGGGTAACTAAAATTACAGGTGGGCCACGTGATACTGGGGCCGCAGAGAACTATAACATCCAATGAGATGGGACGCTGGTGTTAGGCAGCCTGGAGTGGAGGAAGGCGGGAAGCTGGGCATGGTCACCAGCACATAGCTCTCAGCCTCTCTGGGCATCAGCAGCTCCATATTTTGAGCACATAACAGATGGCTGGCCTAGGGGACATGGTCTCGACCCGGACAGACAGTGTTCCTTGCTCCATTCTCTATTCCTCTTTCAGCCTCCTGCAGGAGAGGCAGCACCAGGTCTGGCCAGGCAGCACCTGAGTGGTGACATTCGAGCAGCACCCAGGATGCTGACAAGGAGCAGCCACCAGAATCGAGAATGGGTTGGGGAGAAGCAGACAGCGTACAGCATACTCCAGGACACTGTCCCTCACACTTTTTGCAAGGAGCCCCAAGTGCTTTTATTTACATGGGTTATCATC